ACCTCAGTGATACAAGTAAGTAATATAAGATTTGCATATTGTTATCAGTATCAAATGATATTTTTGTATTAATCCCTGAAGGACTGCTTGAAAATCATGAGCTGGATTTAGTTTAAGTATTTCTCCTTTTTGATTTAAACAAATGCCTGCATTCTTAGTGTTTTTAGTCTCGTTTTGCTGCTTCTTAATCAAGATTCTGGGTAGGCAATCCATTACTAGGTTTCAACTGTCCTTGGATATACCAAGAACAAGGATTTGATGAATCCTTCAGGATAACGTCTGACTGCCAGGTCTTGCACCTTCTCTATCAGAACTTCGATTCTGGATGATGCTTGGCCTCACAGGAGGCTACCTTTAGCACAGCATGCTCTATTCATTTGTGGCTTATTGGATAGAAATTTTTAGATAATTCTAATGTGATAGCTATCATCTTATCAAGTATAATGGTCATCATGGTTTGTGGCATCACTACTACAATAGCAGGCATTCTAGGTGCATTTGTTTTGGATATTTTGTGTATAACTGTACTGCTTTTTGTTCATCTGTTTGGATCAATATTCCATTTGGCCCGTAAAACCTTCAATGAGATTTTATCACCTATGTAAAAGCCATTACATCAAGAGCTATACTGTTAGAATGAAAGCTTCTGATGGCAAACGATTATTGGCATACTATACTATATAATAATAGTGTTTCTTCTGATTAGGAGGCTGTAAAGTCTATGGTGAGCATAAAGTTCCTTCTCATCACTATTAGAAGTCAAATAAAGATTACAATTTCATTTCGTATCTTAATATATTGTACATGAAGTTAAGTTACTTTATTCTTAGCATTAACAGCTTCTGGTTTCATTCAGCCAGTATTATGGTTGAAATACTAGTCATTTACTTGAAATAAGTTATGTTTTAAAACTCAATCTCATTTGAACTTTTCATTTGCAATAAATGCATATGAGCATGAGGCAATAATTATTAGCCCACAGCCACATCCGTGTTCAACGTGAGAAAAAAACTGCAAGTGACAGCAGAAGGACACTGTCTCTATGCAAACAAGTTGACTTATTCTGAGATATTCTAAAAGTTGTATTAATACCCTAAATAGCCAGTGGGCAAGGCATTACCAGCTATTTAACAAGCAAGCTTGCAGAAACCCAAATGTTCAGTTAGGTAACCTATTTTTGAACTGCATGCATTCAACACAGTATTAAGATTGAGTTTGCATGGATTGCCTGAAGTAAGACTCTATGCTTTTCAGAAACAATATAATTCCAATTTAAACAGATTAGGATTTAAAACTTTTAATTTTTAAATTGATTAAGACAAAGTACAAACTGCATTATTTTAGAAAAATGCATTTTGTTGAATGGAACTTTAAGTGATACTGATCAGTTTCTAACAATACATTAGGCTGAATGTACATCTATTGATGAACTGTATAAATACTTTGTCAGAAGGTTTAACAACATCAATTATGAACTAATGCTGGAAAGGGATATAATGTAAAAATGGATCTGACAAAGGTCCTTAATTAACCAGAGGTTCAGGATTTTATTTAGCATTGCCCAAGGAGCAAATGGTGATATTTAGAATTCATAGGGTCATTTTTCCTTTTGACTATTAATTTCTGATATGCTGAGTAGAACCAGTTAAAACTGGGCAGCATATCAATGTGGAGAGTTGTAACACTGGAATCTGAAATTGGGTCTACTAATTGGGAACCCACTGTTCTAGTCCTACACATTTGTAACAGTCATGTTTCTTTTGGTTGGATTGTACATTGAAAAACTTTCAAACTAATTAGTTTTCACTTTAAAATTAACTTGTAAATTAAGGTCTATTAAGATTGTGAGGTTTCTCTATTAGCTGAAGAAATTGAGGTTTCACATGAGTGATGAAATTGCTTCAATCTTACTTCATTGAAGAATTATGAAGTAAATTTATACTATTTGACAAACCACAATTCAAAATGTGATTACTTAGAAGAGGTTTAGAGCCTTTTTGTTGGAAATAAATCCTCCATTATGCATTATTGGTGCTTCAGTTAACATTAGGGATTCTATACTGGTTAACAAGGTGTAGAGCTGGATGAACACAGCAGGCCAAGCAGTATCAGAGGAGCAGGAAAGCTGACGTTTTGGGTCTAGACCCTTCTTCAGAAATGGGGGAGGGGAAGGGGATTCTGAAATAAATAGGGAGAGAGGGGGAGGCGGATAGAAGATGGATAAAGGAGAAGATAGGTGGAGAGGAGACAGACAGGTCAAGGAGGCGGGGTTGGAGCCAGTAAAGGTGAGTGTAGGTGGGGAGTTAGGGAGAGGATAAGTCGGTCCAGGGAGGACGGACAGGTCAAGGAGGCGGGATGAGGCTAGTAGGTAGGAGATGCAGGAGGGCTTGAGGTGGGAGGAGTGGATAGGTGGGAGGACAGGTTAGGGAGGCGGGTACGAGCTGGGCTGGTTTTGGGATGCGGTCGGGGGAGGGGAGATTTAGAAGCTTGTGAAGTCCACATTGATACCATTGGGCTGCAGGGTTCCCAAGTGAAATATGAGATGCTGTTGCTGCAACCTTCGGGTGGCATCGTTGTGGCACTGCAGGAGGCCCAGGATGGACATGTCGTCTGAGGAGTGGGAGGGGGAGTTGAAATGTTTCGCGACTAGGAGGTGCAGTTGTTTGTTGCGAACTGAGCGTAGGTGTTCCACAAAGTGGTGCTTGGCCTGCTGTGTTCATCCAGCTCTACACCTTGTTATCTCAGATTCTCCAGCATCGGCAGTTCTTACTATTTCTTTACTGGTTAAATGTGTTCACATCCCAAGCAATGATTATTTGTTTTCACTCCACTGTAGTTAAAAATAAAATGTTTTTTTTTCTTTATTCATTCATGAGATGAGGGTGCCGCTGGATAGTCAGCATTTACTGCCCATCCCTAATTGCCCAGAGGGCAGTTAAGAGCCAACCACATTGCTGTGGGTCTGAAGTCACATGTAGGTAATAAGGCCTGTTAGTACTCAGGGATGGAATGATGCAGGTTTAAAGCTTTCTATCTTGCTCCTGAGAAGTGCCTCAACACCAACTGCAGAAGCAGCTTTGTGCGGAATACTCCAACCAACTAGATCGACACTGCACAACTACACAAACTAATTTCAAGGAGGATCTAACCAAGGACATTCAATCATGAAATCCCTATAGTGCAGATAACAACACAATTGATCACCCATTCCCCCAAAACCCCTCCTGTCCTACCTTGCCAGGGCCGGCTTGATTAGACTGTGATCCTTGACCTCACTTATCAGCACTCCTGTGTCACAGCCAGTGCTGAACAGTTGGCAATCCTCTGGTTTTGTTCAGTGGACAGGGTCATCTTAACCCCACAAAATCCTGGCCTATGTCTCAATCATATCCCCGTCAACTCGGTGTTTTACTAAAATAAATAATTCCATCTCTAGACTCCAAGGCGACAAATTATTATGTATCTTCTCTAGAACCTAGATATTTGCCACCACAGATGGATGTCAAATAGCAATACAATACTTTAAAAGGTAAATGAACCAAAGTAGGATGTACCCTAAATACAATTCCTTGATTTTATTTTCAATAATCCAAACAAAATAACCTGAATGCCTTGCTTTTGTTTAGTCATCATTATTTCTGAAACATTAGGAAATTATCAACTTGTAATCTTTAACCCCTGCAAGTTATAAATATTATTCAAGTTTTTTCAATCTCAGATGTGGGGTGCAGTGGTTATTTGATACATGCGGGCGTATTGTACTCACTTATCTAACTGGACTGTGATCTATTGATTTGCTACAAATTGGATTTCTATGTCATTGGTGAACAGTTTGATCGATTCTGTAACTCATGTAATTACAATGGAAGTCAAATTCATTGTCAAACCTCAATTGTTTAAATCAACAGCCAGAAGATCTTGTGTCACATTTCCATGGACTCATTCAAGATTGAAGTTGACAACTTGCATTTACAGAGCATGTTTATCATGGGAAACTGTTCCTAAGCCCTTCACAGAGGTAGAATATAGAAAGATAAGTACTGAGCTAAAGGACATTTTAAGAGAAATAACCAAGAGTTTAGTCAGAACTGGATGTTACAACATTTTACAATTTGTATGTTAATTGAGCGAAAGTATCATGTACACTGTTTCAAATCATTTTATTAGATCTGTGGAGCAAACAGAATGAAGGACATGTTTTCCTTAAAGTTAGAGAAAATATAAATGTGTTGATTATAATATTGGCACATTTCCTGTGACTTATCAGTTTGTATGGCAGTGTTTGTTGGTTCAAAATGTAGCTCACAAACTTTACTTTTAAAATAAATGCCAAAACATTTAAGGCTATCAATAAGTCTATGATATAAAATGTAGACTTTGAAGGTGAATTATATCTCCTCCAGTTTCTCCCTTTTTAGTAATGCATGTGCAAGTGACAGAACTGAGATGTGTCTATATTTGTTGACACAATGTGTAATCAGCTTCATATTGTCACTGAGAAAGCATACATAGATCAACAGAAAGTGCTGGAGAAAGTGCGTGTTTGTCAGAATGTATGGAGAGTCTGATATGGTCGTTCTTATTAGACTCAATGTTAACTCTGTTTTTCACTCTCCAAAGATTCTGCCAGACCTGCCGAGTTTCTCTAGCAATTTGTTTCTATTTCAGATTCCCAGCATCTGTTAATCTGTTATTGTGCTTTTTGCTTTTATTCATACACAGATCAATGTTGATAATATTGCTTGACAAAAGGTAACAGAATCTTTAATTTAGCAATGTAGCACACCTAAGAATGCCAGTGAAGGCCAAACCTTGGTCTAAAGTGCTTTTAATCGAAATCCAATGCTTCATTATAAGCGCTATAGAGCTACTTCTTTCATTACATCTTTAAACTGACTTTTTTTGAAGATGTTATTGCAACACAACTGCAAATTACTTCTAAGCCTATAATTGCAGATCTCAAAATACAGTTTCTTACTGATGATGATAAAGCCACTGACCTGTTTTTGTATTGTGCGTTGCTTCATTTCAGGACTATCCCCTTTAGAAGAAGATGATTGCTGTCGCAGCTTTGTGCCAGTGCTTGGCCATTCTGATGAGGATGGTGTAATACCTCCACTGGAAGGCCTTGGATACTGAGGGGTGTTGAATAATAAGGCTGGTGGTGTCCTACCCCTAGCTGCTGGTGGAGGTTGGTCAATTCGGCGTTGTGGGCCTGCACTGTTCTGACGTGGTACTACACTCTGAGGAACTTTCTCTGTTAAGGAGAGCTGTCTTCTTGTGAATTCTCCAGAACGCCTGGTAAAGTCTTCTGTGCTCGTATGGCTAAGAAAAGTGGATTTGTTGGCCGCCAGTTCTTCATTATTGCTGTGGGAGCTAATAGAGCTGAGACATTCTGATCCTGAGTCTGCCACTCCACGTGGTGAAACTAGAATACCTGCTGCCATCTGGTACACTGGGTTTTGGAAAGATAATGGTGCCAGAAGTTGTGGTCTTCCTGGTGTGCCATCTGCATTAGGGGTGCTTGCTGTTTGTCCAGGCTTTCGTCCTACATTCCCAGCCCCACTTGATACTGCATTTTGAGAGGGTCTTGGAGCCCACATTGTCTGTAACTGCCCACTGGATCCTTGACTATCATTTAGGGAATCACCTGTATTGGGAGCACTTGTTGTACTGTCCAAACTGCGGTTCTCTTGCAAATCGACCATTGATACACTTTTATTACCATTTGGCATTTGTTGCTCTGCTTCATTGGCTTCGGAATAGCTTGAGCTGCGAGCAGGGGATGGCTGCACTGCAGAGGACCTTGTGACAAAAAATAAGTCCTTGTTTTCTGGGGTAGGAGAGGGTAACCTTGTACAATCTAATAAACTGAAAGGGGGAGAAATCAGAAAATGTATAGAGTTTCTTAAACTAACTCAACCAAAAAATCAATTATTTAATCATCTACATTATCTTGCTTAACTTACTTTATGCTAATTTTTAAAAAATACACAGAAAAAGGAACAAATCTTTGCAAAAACTGACTTCTATTTCAATTGCATTCTTGTGTATGCACCAAAAAACTAAGCATTTTTCAATATCAATTTGTTTCTGAGAACAGTGAAAACTGTACGTTCATTATCAATAATTTCATGCATTTCACTTTCATATCGCTACTTTCTAAAGTTTTTGGGATAAGTGGGATGACAGATTTCTAGCAATATTTTAAAACTAGTTGTTTCCTGTAATTGATTTTAAATTATTTTTAGAATCAACTAGGCCTATTATAGTCTTGGATGAACACAGCAGGCCAAGCAGCATCATAGGAGCAGAGAGG